AGAGAGAGAGAGAGAGAGAGAGAGAGAGAGAGACAGACAGACAGAGCCAGAGACAGACAGACAGACAGACAGACAGACAGGCAGGCGGGCAGGCAGGCAGGCAGGCAGGCAGGCAGGCAGGCAGGCAGACAGACAGACAGACAGACAGACAAGCAGTCAGATTGACAGACAGACAGGCAGACTTTAAAAGCGATGAATTTACCATGAATTGTTTTAATGGATGGGTCAATAACAAAGCTCACAATGAATTCAATAAATACTGATTCTCGCACTCACCAATATGCCGCTCTCCATTCACCACAAATTCGATATCCTTGGGGTCGTTTGGCCTGTTGACAAGATAGAGTAATTTATTGTAATGATAGAACGTTAGACAAGGACAAAAGGTCTTGCTTAAAATAATTGTAAAAAGCACGAGACTCAAAGTCGTGAAATATATTTATGTAAGACAGTTGGTAATGTTTGTTTTGAGTAAATTTATGTTTATGCATGGGAACTTTGACCCCTAACATCCAACTTCCTGTTGTTGGCCACAGTCAGACAGTTGCGTTGTAGTGGCATCTTAGCTTATTACACGTAGGTTTCTACATTACTCATAAAGGTCCAGGGGGATCTATGGGGCTACTGGTTGAATGAATGAAGGACGAAAGGAAAGAAGGGAGGAAGAAACCTACGAACGAATCAAAATGAACGAATGAATGGTCTCTTACGAGAAAGTTTGTTTGGTCATGTTTATGGGTTGGCAACAAATTCGGCAGAGTACGCTCTCTCTCTCTCTGTCTCTCTCTCTTGTCTCTCTCTCTCTCTCTCTCTCTCTCTCTCTCTCTCTCTCTCTCTCTCTCTGCTGTTGTTCCTTTTGCGGCTGCCTTGAATGAAGATTGAAACAGCGTTGCTGATATTCCGATAAAAGAATGTCTATACCTGTGTGCTCTCGATCGTTATGATATCAACCTGCCATTTCAGTCTGGGTTTATATATTCCCCAGTCAGAAGGTGGATTTTATTGTGAATGATATCCTTGTGCTTTTTTTGGAAAAAAAGTCACGTATTAATCTCCGAGAGAAGTGGTTCTTGCTTAATTACTTTTTCTGCTCTCTTTATGCTTTTGTTGATTCTCAATGTTTGATGTTTGGTAGCATTCCCGCCATAACCCATATTTCCAAACAAAAATATACTTTCCACTGTATTGTGAAAGAATAAAACATCGCCATGAGGGGGGAGGCACATTCAACCTCATACCCCTGTACTAGCAGAAACAAATCTGTTTTATTTCTCCTTCAGTGAATAAAACAACAAAAGATGATGAAATTTTAGTGATTTTAGTAAGCTACTGTGGCAACTTTCACTATTTAAGAACAAACCAGTTTCTTTAGAAAACATAAATCAAGGTACCGGTACAAAAGTTTTTAAAATGCACAGAAAACTAAGGCAGCCAACCCGGTACCGGGACTAATACTGAGGGTAATTTGCAATTTACAAAAATAAATAAAAAGAAGTTAAATCCAGATATCTAGATTCTAGATAATGTTTCACATGATCGTCAGTCGTGGCAAGCTGGAAAATAATAAATGGGGGGTATGGAATAAGGAGCAGGGGGCGCGCAAAAAACCCTTAAAATTAATAAGAACCTGGGGGGGGGGGGGCTTATTCGATAAAGTACGGTGGAGAGCCTTAGCTGGTTCTGAACATGAGGAAGAGAGCAATAAGACCCGGTTCACTCACACCTACCACTGGGCCAAATAGTATTCTGCCTTCGGAAAGACCTCTTCTTCTATTTGTATCTAGCAGTGCAATAAACCCATACAAAAACTTAGTTACAAACAAGCGCCTGTTGGATTACGTTATAGTTGCAGCTCTCCAAACGAAGGGCATCAAGCTCATAAAACTAATATTAATCACTTGATGAGACGCACCGATATTCCGTATTAAATTACTTATACCAGCAATTGGACGTCAAACTCATTATCCAGTCAAACGTACTGAATGTTCAGAAGCGAACTCATCTGAATAAAAATCATCATCCTATATGGGAGTCGTGTAAAACGTAAAAGGAAGGAAGGAAGGAAGGAAGGAAGGAAGGAAGCAAGGAAGCAAGCAAGCAAGCAAGCAAGCAAGCAAGCAAGCAAGCAAGCAAGCAAGGAAGGAAGGAAGGAAGGAAGGAAGGAAGGAAGGAAGGAAGGAAGGAAGGGAGGGAGGGAGGGAGGGAGGGAGTG